ATGAAGTTTATTTAGCTATTATTTGCATGAATTACTAAAGGTAAACAAAAGAGTCATGCTTATAAATTTGGACCAAGGAACTTCCTTTATGGGGCTTTCATTTTTTTTTTTAATAACTACTATGCTTTTGCTTATGTTATTCATTTGCCTAGATGGCTAAGCAGTATTCTTCTCCAACCTAGAATATGTAGCTTTGTTTTGAAAGGTCCATTTTCTTCGGTATGATGAAGAAATAAAGGAAGTTAAAGGCAGAGGAGAGGTTGACGTGCGTGGAGAATCCTAATCCTGGAACCAAATAGGTTAGTGAAGTTGGAATCTAATGAGCTAGGCAAAGAGTTTGATAGTTGTGGGAGCCCACCAACTAAGGTTCCATAATTAATATGATGTCTGTAATTTATTCACCAATTTTGGTGGGTGAGGTGAAACTAGTTTGATGACCAGCTTGTGGGGCTTGGTGCTACTATTTCTTTAATTGAACTTGGCAAAACCATTTTGAGATTCATGTTGTCGAAATTGCATCGTTCTTGGAGAGCCTATTGATAATTTAGATTTTATTGATATTCAAAGATTTCATAGTCATGAATTTGCACTTGCTTTAGTACAATTAGATACAAAATTATCAATCTTTGAAATAGGGATCTCAAAACAGACTCTTTAAGGAATTTCATGTCATTAGTTGAATAGAAAAATGAGTTTTTATTACAACAGGGAGACAATATATAACATAAATGTAGAAGAGATCCTTCTCTTGGCTTGATCTATAGTCTCAATCTAAGGATTATTAAATTGTCCACTAATGTAATCTCAAGGATCCATAATTTAACCAATGACTCTAATAATAAATAAAAGAATAGATAAGTTATTTAGTTTTTCTTAGATCTTATATTCTTATGTTTATATTTTTTAAATAGTCTAGTGTTAGGGTTTGAATTTAAGGACTAAATTATCTTTAAGTGATCTTATATTAGGGTTTGAATTTAAGGACTAAATTATCTTTAAGAGGATCATATGTAGTGAACCAAACAAAATCTTCTTGTAGAACTAGCACTTTTAGCATCAGTTTTTTTTTTTTCTTAAATAGTATTTATGCTCTAGTTGTAGTTCATGTTTAGACTACCACCAATTTTGAGTTTATAATTACTTTACATTTGTTCTATTTTTTTCCTCTTTCCATTTGTAGATATGTGCATTTCTTGTTATTAAAATTAAGAATATATTACTGTTATTAAATATATATTTTTTTCTATACTTATTTTTTTAAACGTGATTGTTTGTAATTCGTCATATATGACAATTCCCTCTTATATATCAAACAACTTTTAAGGAATTTTGACTTCATGAGTAAAAATTAATCTCTTCATCATGTTCCATGTTTCCTCTGTGTATTGTCTCGTTCACCCAAGGTTTGACTCCTTATTTGGATTTACGAACAAAAAAAATCCTAATACGCACACTTCTTTGGTAAGTTGTTCTTATCTTGAAAGCATTAAGTATGAAGTTTTGTCTTAACCACGTACTTTTAAATATTAGAAGGGCAGACATGCATGCATTTTCAATCATGCCTTATATAAAAGAACATAAAGTTTTGCGGGAATTACAATCACATAGAAAATAGATGATACAAAATGTCACATACAACATAGACAAAACAACAAATCTTAATTGCCAAGGTAGGATTTAAAGGAAACATGATTAGGAAAATTGAAATGAAATGAAATGTATTTCTGAGACAATCCTTTCGAAGATTCCTTCAAATATGGTAGGCTACAGAGTGTAGCTTTCAAGAGCCTCGGAGAACAGGGCGCAAAATTTTCACTAAGTTCAGATTTTGAAGGAACTAAAAAACTTTATTTTCTGTTTCATCTTCATCATCATACAGTTGTTAATTGTTTTTTTCCTTTTCATCTTTGGGACTAGGATTTCTGCTTAAAACTGATGAAGTTGTATCTTTCCCATCGTTTGCTACTGAATCTTTCTTAACTTGATTATCTGAACCTTTATCTTTGTCATCAGATTTAAATCCATCCTTTTTCACTTCAGTATTAGGATCTTTTGTCATACCTACTTTGTTTTCACCAACTTTGCCTTGTCCGTCTTTGCCTAATAAATCTCTAATTGCTTCAGCATCTTTCTTATTTGCTTCAGGCTCTTTGATGTCATCAATGCCATCTGGTTTTTCTTTTTCGTCTTGTGATGCTTTATCTATGTCTTCCTGTCGCTGTGTCTTCTTGTCTTCGCTTGCTTTTCCTTCACCAGTTATGCCTCTTTTTTTATTTTCACCAGATGAGGGCTTCTCTTTGTCGTGGGTTTTATGGGCATCTTTCTCACCTTCAATATCCGGCTTATTTGCTTCGCCTTCAAGGATTTTATCAATCTTACCTGGTTTTTCTTTCTTAGCCGTTGAAGATTTGTCTTTGTCATCCGGTTTGGGTATCTCGTTCTCGCCCTCTATAGCTGGATTTTTTGCTTCAAGTTCTTTGATTTTATCAGTTTTACCTAATATGCCTCTGTCAACTAATGAAGCTTTACCTTGATCAGCCGGTTTTGAATCCTCTTTCTTGTCTGCAGTAGCTGACTTATTTGCATCCTTTTCTTTGATTTCATGAGTCTGACCTGATTTCCCTTCATCCTCTAGTTTCGGTTTTTCTTTCTTGGCTTCACTGTTTTGTTCAGCAGCTTCTCGTTTCTTACCTCCCTCAGTTGAAGTAATTTCCTTCTCTTCATTCTTCCCTTCAGTTGTGCCATTTGTTTTATCCCCCAAGTTTGCGCCAGATACTTTGTTACTGGGAGCATCTTCTATCTTGCTTCCTAATGCTCTTGTCTCTCCTTCATTTTTTTGAATGTCTGCTTTAGCCTCTTCCTTTTTGCCTTTTTCTGAACTTCCAATCGGTCCATTTCTTAGACCATTTTTTCGTGGAGATGAAGATGATCGATCCGCTTCACTGTTGGACGCTGGAACATTGAAGGTGAGGCCTTCCTCTTCAAACTTTTCGATCACCTTCTTCCATGAATCCCTCTGCGAGATATTTTTCCACCACCGGCTAACATTCTTCCTGTTCTTGAAGAGGTAACCATACTCAATAGAACTCTCAAGGTAGTATGTGTTGGGGAGATGGTACAGGTCTGCGAGTGTGAAGTAACTGCCGGCAAGGAATTCAGATTCTCCCAGTCTTTGTTCATACAAGTTTAGAACTTTTTCTAGTTTCTTTTCACTCTGGGTTGTCTTCTCTACATCTGCTTCAATCTTAAATGCGAGGTAGAAGACGAGGGTGGAGCTCGGAGGGTCGAATTTTTGCTCCTCGGACTGAATCCATTGCTCCACGGATACTCTTGCCAGTGGATCTTTCCCCAAGAGATACTGGTAACCATATGCTTTGAACTTGTCCACAATGTGCCTGCAAATTTTCCTTGACCCTGCAAAAGGCCCACAAATAAGATTTTAACAAACATACCACCCAATTACTATATATTTACATATCTAGCCCTTTAACTTTACCTTTTACATTAATATCACCCAAATCTTTCGTATCATATAAAAAATACCAACATTTTTACTTGAAAAAAAAAGATGAAATACACCTTTTCATGCATAAGTAACGTGGTATGTATGTAAGAATTGAAGTTTAAGTGTTAGATAAAATACCAACATTTTTACTTGAAAAAAAAGGGTGAAATACACCTTTTCATGCATAAGTAAGGCGGTATGTATGTAAGAATTGAAGTTTAAGTGTTAGATATGTCAATAGATAGGAATTAAGTGGTATTTATTTAAATTATCCTTTAGAAAAAAAAATGGCTGAATAAAATTTAAGAATGTCATTACTTTTAGATAATTCTTTAAAGATAGATGCTTTTAAGTTTGAGGGGAATAACATCAAAATTCTTATAGAAACAAACACACAAACATAGAGATACAAATTGATGTAGGAAAGAGGTCTCTTATGATTATTTTTGGAGTGACATTGTCATGAAATCAAACTATATCTTAATTTAATTTAATTTTATTTTCTTTAAAAAAAATGGGGCTCCAAGTGAATTTTGGAAGAAACTCTCTAAATGTTAAAAACCATTTTTCTTAAGTTCATCAATCACCCCAAATTGAGGAGTTTAATGGTAATCAAAGATTTAAATTAATATTTAATATGTGCAATGGACTACTTAATTTTCCAAACAAGAAGAGACAATGATAGGGTTGCCATTAGATCATATGAATGACTTTTAATGAGAGATTTTATGTACTTTCCTCCTTTGTTTTAGCGCTTAATAAATTATTCATTCACACAATTAAATAAAAAAAAACTTGGTTTAACCTTTTATTAGTTGTCTATTACTCTGTCATCTTATGATTTGGTTGTGTATTTGTATTATTTAAGTTGTTGCTATTGAAATGTTTGACAATTTGGCCCTTTTGATTGTTCCTCAATTCATTAGTTCTATGATATATTTAAATCACTTTTAAGATTTGTAGATTCATTTTTGACCATTCATTCTTTTGGATGCATTATGCGGTCAACTTTATGTTGGCAACCAATAAAGTTAATTATAATTATAATGATCAAACTATGACTGCAGGTCATGCTGGTCAATAAATAATTAGTGGTTATTGGTAGCTAAACTATGAAACATGATAAGATAGAAACTAGTTAGCTAAGAATTTATATAGTTTAGCAAGTAAGCTTACATCCACTGTTATGTGGAAATCAAATCATCCACTAAATATAAAAAAAGATACACTAAAGATTAAAATTCTAAAAAAAATAATGACATAAATAAATAAATCAACTTTTTTATCTAAAAGAATTGAATCATTTATTGTAAATATGATGGCAAAACTTGAAATAAGATAGGTTGTTATTGTTTTAGTTACTTTCTTCCCCTCTCTCTATGTTGTTAAGAGTCCGTAAGAATTATCCTTTTTTGTGAACAATAGCATCTTATCGTATTAAAATTGAAAATAATATCACTTCTTCCATCTTGAAGAAGCTGAATAGCTTTCCTTAGAAGCACTCCAAAATTTTTTTTTTAATATTTCCTAGTCCCTCTCCTCTTGCTTCCTCTTTCTCTCTTCTTTATTGCTCCTTTTTAAAGGATTTTTGAAATTATTGAAGTTCCACCTCTTTTATAGCTACAATATGAGGTAATGAGTTTGAAAATTTGAATATATTATGAGTTAGATATCAACCATATTAGAAAATTAGTGTAAATGAACTTTGAGTTAGTAACTACTAATCATGAAAATCATATATGAATGGATCTTCATTTTTGGCGTCTACCAATCTGGAAAATAAGGATCAAATCTTATCTAAAAAGCTTAGAAAAATTTAGCTCCATACTTATGACTCTCACATTTGGATTATAAATTTAACGTATGTTATTTAATGTTTATGTCTAAGAACCTCTCTATATGAAAAATTCTTTAATTAATCTCAATGGTTAATTGAGACTTTCCAATACCTTATTTTATTAATAGTAAATTTGCCAACTTTGCCTTATTATCGTTTTTTTATATTATATCATTCTTTTAGAAGTCCCTATTTAACAAAAATATTATCATGTGACATTTCTCTAGAATTATTAGTAATAAATTATATATCAGCTCTCATTTAATTAATACTTAAAATCATAGACTCAGTACCTTTCTTGCTTTAATGAGCTATAACCACATTGATTCCACTAATTTTTTTTTTCACTTACAAGACAACTAAAAAATATTAGATTGCTTTGGGGTACTAACATCACAAAAATTTTTGCATCCTATACCATTAATAAAATTTAAAGATATAATATTTTTCCTTAAATCTAATATATTTCTAACTATAGCCAAAAATATTTTCATACCACCATTACATCAACTTCATAGTAGTAGAACCTTAATCTTGCATTTAACTCCATTTCTTATTTAATTACAACCATCAAAATTTGGCTAATTTATGAAAATATATGTAAATTAGAGCATCAAGGGTTTTAAATATTTTACTCTTTACTTTTATTCTCTCAAATCACTAAAAGAGCATCATTGATTTCATAACAATAAAATCTTATAATAATACTTACATCAACTTCCTTATTGTTATTAGTTGTTTCTTGCTTTTTTCTTATTATAGAAAAAATACTTCTCTTTATATTCCATTTATTATTGTAATAGAAGAAAATGATTGTTTAAAATTTAATCTTTGACATCCCTTTAACTTATTGTGTCATAACCATATATTATGATTTCTAAAAAGTATGTGTAAGATGAAAGCAAAAAGAATACAAATAACAAACTTAATTTTTATCATCAATAATCATATCAATATTCTCAAATCATAAACAACATAAGTAAAATCATTTAAAAGTGATTAATAAGTTTATTATCTTACATACGAACTAGCTAAAGCATTTATTTTTGATGAAACTTGTTGGATAAACTTTATTATTTACAAACTCTAGCTTGAAACAAAAACCTTATGTATTTATATGCTTCAAGACCTCTATTGAAACATCATCAGACAAGAACATCTAAATTCTTAAGAGGGCCTTCTCATTCCTCTTTATTTTATATTTTTCACTCATTATTTTAGGCATGTTATTATTCCTCACGAGTGCCCTTTATAATTTTTTTATTGGATAGGAAGATCACACATTTCTTCACAAACTTATTAAGCCATCAATTTTTTTAATGGAAAATTACATACATACCCACCCAATTCTTATGGATTTACCTATCTTAGACCCAAAGTTTCATTTTCACACACATAGCACTTTACCTATGGATGAAAAGATAGATTTGACTATTAAAAGGTGATAGCAAATGATTTTTTTCATATGATATTTGTAATAATAAAAATTTGGGCGTGAGATAAGTAAATATGAAAGTTTTGGGTGCTATGTATGTAAAAGCTATTTTTTTTAATCTCTAACTTCATGGCCATCATATTTTCATATCCACTTGGGTATTAGTTGTTAGAAAGGTATTGCCTTAATCCAAGAATAAGTATCATGATTGAAAAAGAAATTAAAAAAGCGACCAAGCACAAAAAAGAGCCCCAAATATTAAGTAGTAAGTTTATATAAGTCTACTTAGTTCCATGTCTATACAAAAATTTGGTAATCTGCTAAAATTTAAAAAGAGTATACGAAGGATTATACTTAATAAAAAAAGTAACGATATTGATAAAAATATCATTTTTTATAATTGAGAAATAAATTCAATCATCCACTGCAAATATAAGATCTAGAAATGAAGAAGTAAACATTGGTGTTTCTTTATTTATCTTTTTCCCATGTTTAGGGTATATAAGTCCATATAAAAGTTATTCCTTGTTATGATAAAGTGATTATTCTAATACTAGAAGAAAAAATGATAATACCATTCCCTTATTTAAAAAGCTAAAGAGCTACCTTTATATGCTCAAACATAATTTTTAAGGACACCTTATTAATCTTTATGTTTATCCCCATTCTCATTTTGTTTCTCCCTTTAATGGGGCACATGAAATTATTGATATATATATTTTTTAATGGGAGTGATGAGTTAAAAAGATGAATTATGAATATAGATTGATTTATATAACAATGAGTTTAAAAAATAAGTATGAATGACTCTGGAGCTAGTAACAAAAATCTTGAAAATTAAATATGTATGGATACTAAGTTTGGTAGCAATCAATCATGAAAATTATAATAAAATTTTATCCAAGGTTAATAAGTAAATTTAGACCCCATAAATAACAAGTTCTATAGGTAAAATTCTCTAAAGATGAGGATATTTTACTCTTGCATTAAATATGTGAATTTGACATTTCAATATTTTGATTTGGAATTTGAATAGATTTTTCAGGAAAAAGTCATACAAGGAATATCTTGGATATGCAAGTAATTATGATGCCCTAAAAAAGGGCACTAAAGAAAAAAAAATTCTATACAATGGAGTATTTGCCTAACTCTCTATAATATAATACTTCTCATAATAGAGGTTGTAAGATTATAATTATAACAAAATGCAGGTTTGATCACTATTTTCTTATAATGTTACATTAGTATTTGAGAGCTAAAAATTAATTTCTTATATTTTAATCTTGCAATGATTTCTATAAATAATTTTCATAGAAAATTGTTCATTTAATGGATACTTTAATATTTTTATCTTGGTGGCTAATATAGTTCTTTACATGTATGATTATTTTTTTTAAAATTAAATTGTTGAATGTTAAATATTTATCGTTAGCTTTCGTAGAGTTCTTAAAGTGGACCTATAATTAGCCATACATTATTAGTATTGAGGAGCTATTCCCTTAAATATTTCAGTTAATTTACTTTTTGATCTATATGATTTATTATTTTCTTAATGTAATTTTTGTAATCATTCAAGTAGCCTATAAAATTTTAAGAGTAATTGACTTACCCATTCATAATAGAGCAGACAAGAAAGATTAATAAAGAGTAAAACAAAGGCACTTTACCAAAGAATTCATCAGGACCATCAAGAAGCACCGGAGCATGCGCTTGGGATGATATCTGCTAGCAAATAGAGATAATTAGAACCTTAATGAATTGTGATTTACATAATATAAAAAATTATGTAAATCATATATATTTTTTGTGTGCACGACAAGTTTCACCCATATTGTTGCACTCAAGATACATGTATTTATGGATGGATCAAATGAATCAAATTAAAAAAAAAAATATTTATTGTTTGATTTAAAATAAATGGTGTCAAAGTTGTAGTTACTTATAATTATTACTAGAGAAATAGTCATCAAAACACAATTTTGCTTGTAAAAATGTATACTTGAAATAATTAGGGTGTCGTCACATGTATTTTTTTTTTTCATTTGATAAGAGTGAGGTAGAGTTTGAGCATTATTAATCTATACTACATAGTTTCATTGTTATACTTTTAAATTTATTTGCGTCATAATGTAATTAATCGATGTTCAAATTACTTACTTCTTGATGATGATCATGATTCATCTTTTCCTCCCTATCTTGAGTCATCAATCTTCTAACAGTTTAATATTTTAAAATTCATTAGTTTCTTGAAAGTAATTATTTTTATTACTTGGAATGAAATTTAATTCAATAATAAATTAATATTTTCATAGAATATTATTTTTAAAATAATAGTTGATTATGAAGTACACAAAGTAATCAACAAGTGATTATCCATTTAATCTTGAATTTGTTAGCCATGTTTGTTTACTAGCTCACAAACCCCTTAACTTTAAAACTCATTACTAAGTTTATCATAGCCAAACCACCCAATCCAATAATAGTTATCCAATTAGAATTAGATTAGGGTAAACTGAATTTATTAACAAACTAATTAATTACTATTTTTTTCCAAAACATACATATAACTTCTAATTATATATATGAACTAGGAAATTATAGGGGATTTTCTTAAATGTCAATCCAACATTGTATTGATTCAATTAATACCTTGGTTGTGTAATTCTCAAACTTCACAATCAAGATACCAATTCTTTCATATCCCTATGGTTAACATGGTTCTCATTTGACATTTGTTTATCTGCTATTAACTACTGCTCTTCAATAATAACTACTACTCTTTGAAGGATTGCATTAATATTTTAGAAAGTTAATGTTCTTTCTTGGAATAATATTATACAATGTTTGACAACTCAAAACTTTTTCAAGGCAGATACTGATTGATAATTTCTGATATATCACTTGGTGACAACTCAATATCAATTTAAACAATTCTTGTTGCACCTAGCGCTGTAAACGAGCCGAGCTTGAGCGAGTTCAGGCTTGGCTCATGTTCGGCTCGTTTGAAATGGCTCGTGTTCGAAATCAGATTGTGTTCGAAATCGGCTCGTGAAAAGTGTGTTCGTGTTCGGCTCGATTTAAATATTCGTATTTGTGTTCGGCTCGAAATTGGCTCGTTAAACTAAAATTGAGAAAAATAGATGTAAAGTGTGGGATTCGAACCTAGATCAAATATATACAAAAAAATACATTAATCACATTGTCACATGAGGTGTTATGATTTAAACTTAGACATAAATATATTTAATATATTATTATATAAATAATATATGTAATCTATTGTTATATAAAAAGTTATATAATTTTTTTTTTATTTCGAGCTAACACGAGCCGAACACGAGCGAACAAAGAGTCACCTTGATAAGTTCTTGTAGCCAATTTAGCAAACAATTATAGTTTCACCCTAATGAATTACTTCTTATTGACCTTTAATGTCTGCTTAGTATTACTCCTTGAAATCCCCTCAACTTTACTCCTTGATATTGTACAGCCATACTCCATGACCACCTCTTCTATCCCCTTCCTTGTCCATGAGCATTATCGTTAACTAAAACGTTAATAGTAATTGGGATAGTACTCTCTTTTTTATCCTCATCGCCCTTTTAAGTCAAGAACCAAATTATGACTCATATAGATTTTGACATCACTTGCAAATGCAAGCACAATCCCCAAAAAAGGCTTTCTATTTTTGCGCCATTTTCAAAATTCAGTTTATCCTATAATATTGATAACTACAACTATGGAAAGTTAAGGGGCTGTTTGACCGCAAGCAAGATTAGACTTGAATAGGATTTAGTTAATCTTGCAAATCCAAATTTATCAATCCACAAACAATTGGATTTAATGAATTTGAATTTATTGGAAAAAAGAGAAGTTAAGATTTAATCATCACTGGATTTAACATGTTTACATTTAACAATTTGCTTGGATATATACTAAATCTATACATCCAACATAAATTTTACTAGTCAGGCACTACCAAACAGCTCCTAAATCTCTATTTGGTTCTCACTGGGAGGAATATGCTTGCTCGATGTAACATAAACTTTTCTGCATGAAGGCAGTGTTTGGTAGCAAGTTTTTGACACGATTTATGTATAGATTTAACCTAAATCATGCCAAACACGAAAATATATGTTAAATAAATCCGACGATCAGCTAAATTCATTTTTCTTTCTTTTTCGTCTATTTTGCGACGTAAATTTGGATTTACTAAAGATTTACTAAATCCAATTATTTGATGGATTTAGCTTAGGAAGAAAATACTTCTAAAAGATTTACGTCAAACAAATTTAAGTGGATTTAATACTAACTGAATCAAACGCACTCCAAGATCTAACAACATCTGGATTTGATAAATCTGAATTTACTAAATCCCATTTAACTCAAATCCTAGTTGCAGCCAAACACTCCCGAAGTGTGTATATATACATAGAAGATGAAGATGATATTTTCTATCCATTGCGTGCATGGATTAGTCGATTTTAGCTACACTGAGAGCTAAAATCGCAAGGTTTAACACAGTATTAATTGAGAAAAGGATAGATCTTCCTAAATCTTCTCTAACTTGCGCTATAGATTATTGGAGACACAAAAAAAGTCATTTTTAGTTGAACTTGAATGAATCAGCTTTCTTCCACTATGCATCCTTTACTTCCCAAAGATATTAGTTTTCTCCGAATTGATGTTTAGACAACTGGTAATGCAACGGAAAATTTAGAGTATGGGAATAGATCCAGATTTGCAGACCTGTAGATTCAGGATGTCTTGTGACATTCTAACGCCTTTGTTCATGTCCTCTAGTTCAAATGTGATTTCCTTCTCATATAAGCACGCCAGCACTCTTGCCAGGTCTGGAAGCATGGGTTTCCCATAGATCACCTTAACCATGGGAGTTGCTGCCATTGCCTGAAGAGAAGCAGAATTAGAACGCTTGCTTACTTGCCCCCTTATCTCCCCTTCTCCACTCGTTCAGTCCTCTCTCCTTCACTGCATTCTGCTTTCTATAGACAAAGATTTGTTTCACAGGTCTAAAATAGGATTAAAAAACAAGTAGTCAGGAGAATGCTGAGAAAGATAAAGGTAAAAGAAAAAGGAAAAGGGAAAGCAATGCATTAACAGAATGATTATGGTTGGCTTAGGAAGTAAAGAACAATTCTTGCTTCTCCATAGAGCAGTCAACAAGTAGAGTGGGCAGGCTTTGATGTAGATAAAGCAGATATTTATTCCATGCAGAAGGCAGCATTGTACAATCTGGTTTAAAGGGAATTCTTTAAACAAACAGAGTACATTAAAGAATAATGGTGTGGGTTCTAGAAGCGTTTATAAGGTGGTCCAAAAATGCTAAATTTTCTCCTTTTTTCTGAAACTCGAAAGGAAAATATATTCTGCTGGATTTTGCATTGGCTGTTTCTTATCTGAATTCTACCATCTATACAGAAGTATTTGATTTCTTACTCGGCTATGCAGGGCAGGCAAATAACATATTTGCTTTGATATGGAGAGATCAATCGCAAGTGTTCTTTTGGACCAAAACTAAATGAAATTTGATTTCTCAACTGTTATTTGTGGCTATTACAATATTAATAATGCAAAGAGCAGAGTTTTGTTTTATATATAAAATTGAATTTATTGTCTGGGATCATGTTCCAATCTAGACTCCTTTTTTTTTTCTCTTGGTGCCGGATAGATCTTTTATTTCATTTATTTTTTTTATGAATGTGCTTGCAGGATGTGCCACATGAGATTTTACAAATAATTGATGGTATAGGTAATTATGATATGATGTTACATTTTTATAATGATCAGAGTTCATCATCATCAACCATATCATAAGCTCTTAACTATGTAGAGTCGGGTTATTTAAATTTGATGTTCAGTGCAAGCAAAATTATCAGAGTTACATTAGTTTTCTCACATAAGCTAGATGTTTAGTAGTTTGGAACCAATGATCTGCAAGCAATAAAACAGAATTTGGCAGTGAACTTTCATTACTTGTCATACCATATTTTTTGAAATGCCAAAGTTTGTAGTGTCCGATTACCTTGTTTGCGTTAGTTATTTCACCACGAATCATTAGTCAAGTTTGCAGTTTTAGAAGCGAATAAGTTTTGAGAGCTTGTGTTATTCAAACTGATTGTCAAAGGTTCTCTTCTATGAGATATAAACTTTTGTCCCACATTCCTTGGCTGCTGATGGCCATTCAATTATCTTTTTTATTCAGTCCGTGAAAATAAGTGCAGTAGATAATTGCTAACTGCTACAAAAGCAAACTTGCTCTTGTGTTTTTGCAATGAAGATATTGAAAGAATTCAGGCCATGTTCTATATTTGGGCATGGCTAGAAGGCACCAGGAAAAAAAATTTAAAAGAAAGCAAAATGTTATGAAAAACAAAGGCAATAAAGTGAAAAAACCGGATCGAAAAATTGCAAACAAAAAAATAACACACAGATTTATGTGGTTCGGCTAATTTGCCTACGTTTACGGAGCTGCAGAGGATTTTTATTACTTTAAAAAATTACACTGTCGAGCACCTTGACATTTACAAGAAAACTTCCTTTCCTTTTCTCTCCCCCTTCCTCTCTCTCTCTCTTCCTCTCCTCTCCTATCTCTCTCTCTCTCTCTCTCTTCTCTCTCTTAGCTCTCCACCGTAAGCTTTTCTTGTAAGCTTTGCTGAGCCAAGCTTAAGGAGTGGGCTTGACTTATCAATTTATGACAGACCAAAAGAGGTTATTTATAAAAAAATAGGGGAGCGCTAGGTGGGACGTAGAGAGAGGTAGGTGTGCGGTAGATGGGATGTGGAGAGAGGTAGGTGGGTCACAGGCTCCATATATTTAACAATTCTCCCAATTTGAGACTAAGACAATAACTGCACCACTTACAGACTGCATCATCTGCTGGTTGTACCGATCTTTTTCCTCAAACATTATATCTTTCACTTTCCTCCATCTCTGCAACTCATGGCTCCTGTCTTCACGCCGAAAGACCAACCGTAGTCGAGCACAACTTCAGTTTCTCAAGAGTAGCACCCTTAGTCGACATATCTGCGTCAACATAGCCTTGTACCTCCAAGCTCTTTCCTGGGTTACTCCTGCATCTGCTTACAACTCCTATTGCATGGGCAATATCCTGCCTCAGCTGAAAGACTTTTTCAACAGGTCTAGCCTTGTATCTCTTACTGTCATCAAGCGCAGTCTTCACTTGATACACCCACTTATTATGTAATGTCTTATTCCTTGGTAGAAGTTCTGTCAGTTCCCAAGTCTGATTTTCTGACATGGAACCCATCCCCTTCTTCATAATCTGCTCCCACTTGCTCGAATTTTTATCTTGCAAGGTTTCTTCATAGATATGTGGTTCTCCACCATCTGTCTGTACAAGATCCAATTTGCCTACCTTTGACGCTCTGTCACTTTTCAGGAACTGACCTTTTTCTGCTTTCCCATAATGCGTCTCTAACTCATGTGTCCACGCTTGAGTAAACATGTAGTCATATATAGCGTGTCAGTTTTTTTACCCCGAACCAGTATTAATGCTTCTTTGGTAACATTCTTGGTGCTATCTAAGAACACTACCGAATGACCACCCTCATTGAGCCGCCCAACAGAAATGAGGCTTTTCTTTCTTGAACTCAAGAATGTCTCTAACCTTTTGCAAATTTTATTTGCTCTTGTTAGGGAGAGCAATATCAACGTCTCCCATCTCCACCACGTTCAAAGTTGTTTCATCAGTCAGATATATCTTCCTAAAGTCACTTGCAACATAATTCTGCATTAACTCAAGATGGGAAGATGTATAGAAGAAAGCCTCTGAATCCAGTATTCAGTCATCAATAAAACTGTGAACTGCCAGCAATAGTGCATCATGTATTTCTTTAGTTACCACATTTGCGCTATCCTTTTCCTTCTTCTTAGGATTCCTGCAGTTCCTTTTTATGTGGTCAGCCTTGCCACAATTCCAGCAGGTTGCCTGCTGACCAGACTTATATTTTGATTTTCCTCTTTTTGAGTTCCTGTCCTGTGATTGATCCGCATAAAAATTACCTATTTTTTATATCTATTTTATGCTCAATTTTAATAATTTTTGATGATATTACACTTTAAAGGAAGGTATTTTGCATATTTTTGGTTTCAGGTACAAACAAATAAAATTTTGGAGAAAATGAAGCAAAAATGGTAAAATTTGGAGTAAAAAAGAGCAAAAAAGAAAATTCTGACTTGGTACATCTCGATATGTCTTGCCATGCTTTATCTAATTTACATTTCTAACATGTTTTTAAATGAAATTATACTTTAAAAAAATTTTATTTTCATGTTTATTTTATGAGTATATATGTTAGGAGCAAAACACAACTGAAATGGGGCAAATGAGAGTTGAAACGGAGCCAAATGGAGCAAAACAGTGGAGCTGATGCAGGGTGGCACATGATGCGCCAAAATCCAGAGAGCTGGCACATGACACACTGATTTGGTGCTGGATGCGCGGAGATGAATTTTTGCGGATTAAGGCGGTTCAGGACGAGTTTTTGTACAAATTTTCAAAGGGACACTTGTTCTAAACATCCCATAGAGTGATTCAATGCATCTAGACACTTTAGAAGGCTCTTTTATGAAGGAATATGACTCATGGATCGATGGACATGTCTTTTGAATTCAAATGAGTTGACTTTTGGAAGAAATTTTGAATTCTTTTTGGAGGGAGACAACCTGTTATAAAAGAGAGGGAAGTCTAAGGTTTGGAGAGGAGTTTTTGGGGGCGTGAGTTGGTGGTGGGGTGTGTGTGTGGCATGAGAGTGAGAAGAAAGAAAGTGAGAGAGTGAGAGAGAAATTCAAGGGCTTGGAGATTTTCTTCATGAGATTGAGAGTGCTTGTAGACAGGAGCCATGAGTTGCACACTTAGATAATTGCTAACTGCTTGGAGATTTTCTTCATGAGATTAAGAAGAGAGGGAAGGTGACAAATTTCTTCTTAATTTCATTTCTAGGAGAGAATTGAGAGTGCTTGTAAGGAAAGAAATGCTTGAAGAGAACTTCTAGGGATTTGCTTAAGAATGATTGTGAGATAGGTTGTGTCTTTTATTTCTTTTATATTGTAAACTTGTCATTATTAATGAAATCTGTGTTTTTTCGTATCATTATCATGAATTCTGAGTAGTCCTTTTTATCCTTCTCCCTACTTTGAGATTTGATTTTGTGAAGAATTGATTTTTTTTATACGGTTTTAAATGTCAATAATTTGTGATGATTCAAACTTAAATCTTCATGTACTTTTCGATCTGATCAATTGAAATGTTAAAATGTGTTGAGAAACATATGATCTGAAATGGCTATGATTTCTACAACATGGAGAGAATCACATTTGATTTCATGGGAGAGTATTTCATCCATGAGATTGGGTGCAAATAAATAGGGAAATATACTTCGTTGGATGTTGAATTGGAAGATTTTAAGATGACAGATTAGAATCCCCAATTTTGTTCAGTTGATTGGAAACTGATGCGAGCATGTTAGCTCTAAGGTGAGGGAGTAGTGGGAGCTCTGCAGAGATAGTCAGTTCATAGAATTATGGACCAAACTCTGGATTAGTCAGTGTTCTTTATAGTGCTCGGAGGTGGGTAGAGAATATGATTGCTCCTATTTGACACAAAACAATTTTTAAATATATTTTTCAAATGATTTCAATTTCTTCACA